TTCTGTATCTCCCTCTCTCTGTATATCTACCTTTGCAGCAGTAAAAATAAATAAATCTTAAAAAAAAAAAAGGCCCTTCTAAAAATCATCTCCCAGGCCATGTGATATGATCATTGCCTAGGTGCCTAAATATGTCAGAGAGTGACTGGGAAAGCTACCTTGGTGAGAATTCAAGGCAGAAAGCGTGTGGCTCAGATGTCAGGGAAAGCTGCAAACAAGCAAAGCCTCCTGCAAGGGAAACGCAGATGCAGAGCAGAGCCCTGGTGGGCGTCACTCTGCCACAGCTGCACGCACTGCCTCTCAAGGGCAGCTGACACAGCACACTGACAGCCTGGAAGGCTCCTGTCTCTGCCCCGATGATGCCCCCTGGATGCCCCTGCACAGGCAGCTCTGCATGGTGCATGCAGAAAAACGCCCTGTATGTCTAGGCCTGCCTGCCTTCTTCTTTTTCTTGCTGCTCTAAGAAAGAACGGAGACTCTGTCAGCTAATGCACTTTGGGAATCAATAAGGCAATTTGATATTCAGGAAAGGTAAAAGCAGAACAAGCCCTGTGTCCATTTTCTCTGCTATGAGAGACGCTTACAAAGTTTAACAGCTATTTCTGTACCCACCATGGTTGAAAAAGAAACAACTCAAGCATTTTTATAATGTTCAATTATTTGCACTGGAATTTGAGAAAAATGTGTATCATTAAAGGATATATTGGTAAAGACCTCATTTAAAAAAAAAAAGCAAAGGCAAAAGAATAATGCACCTAAACAACCACAGCCTACATGTTATATAAACTCAATTCTATCATGAACACAAAAGGAGAACATTTTCTTTTCAGAATGAAGTCCATAATATTTTACAGCACCACAGAATGATCTAGGGAGGTTTTTTTCTTTAAGGGAAAAATAAACAAAACATAAAAGATATTTTCGGAAGCATTTTCATAACACACATTATATCTCTTGAACCCCTCAGGGGTTGAGAACGGTGCTCCAACAGAATTCTAGAACACGGGACATGAGAAAGCCTGAAATCGACTCAAGGTCACCAGCAAGTTTGTCTCGGCGCCGTCTCGGTTCACAGGAGCTGCAGAGCGCCAGGCTCCTGCTGTCCCCACAGCCGCCACCTGCAAACCCGGTGATTCCTCAGGGCTGTCCCCTGCACACAGCCTCTTTCATGGCATGACAAAATCACGGCAGAAAACAAACCATTACGTTAGTGTTCTTTTTCTTTTTTTCAAAAGTAACATCTCTTATTTTCTTTTAAGATTTATTTTATTTTTATTGGAAAGTCAGATAAAGAAAGAGGAGAGACATAGAGAAAGATCTTCATCTGTTGATTTACTCCCCAAGTGGCTGCAACAGCTGGAGCTAAGCTGATCTGAAGCCAGAAGCCCAGAGCCTCTTCCGGATCTCCCACATGAATACAGGGTTCCAAGGCTTTAGGTTGTCCTCGACTGCTTTCCCAGGCCACAAGCAGGGAGCTGGATGGGGAGTGGGGCCACCGTGACATGAATTAGTGCCCATATGGAATCCTGGCGTGTGCAAGGGGAAGACTTTAGCCACTAGGCTACCACACCAGGTCCGTGACATCTCTAATTTAAGAAAGAAGGAATGAGCTGCAAATTTGACTCAAAAAAATGCACACAAAAAGATTGAGAGCACCTGCTGGAGGCACAGGTACACAGGAATTGTGCTAAGTTGGAAACATTTAATGAAGCTTCACACTTAGGCTTGGGGCTAGGAGGAGGTAGATGTGAATGGCAGGAGATGCTCAGCAGAAACACTCCAGCGCTCTCCTCACTTCTGGAGTAACTTCTGTCACTGTTTCCAGAAATGCCAGTGGCCATTTCAGCATGCTTTAATTAGAAAGGCATATTTACAGAGAGAAGGTCTTCTGTCTGCTGGCTCACTCCTCAAATGGCTGCAACGGACAGGACAGAGCTGTGCTGAGCTGACCTGGCCCAAAGCCGGAAGCCAGGAGCCTCTCCCAGGTCTCCCATGCAGGTGCAAGCTCCCAAGGATTCAGGCCATTCTCTGATACCCTCCCAGCAATAAGCAGTGATCTGGATTTGAAATGGAGCAGCTAGGACATCAACCAGCACCCATACAGGCAGAGAATGAGCCTGCAGTGCCATCAGGCCAGCTCCTTAGGGCTTTCTTTCTTTAGAAATTAAAACAAAAGGTGTTGGAGGAAAAGAAAAAAAATGACTCAAGAATACAACAAATAGAAAAGCTAAAGAGAATTCCAAGTCATCAATGAAGAAAAGGAAAACTCTATCAGATTCCATGTAAAAAGAACCATCCATAACAATGAGGTGCAGGGGCCGGCAGGAGGCAACAGGCAAGTAGCTGGCTTCTGGCAAGGACTGAGTGGTGGGATGTGGCACATCCAGTGCCATTCTTGGAAAGCACCCAAATGGGAATTTTTAGTGAGTCTTTTTTTAAAAAAGATCTATTTATTTATTTGAAATTCAGAGTGAGAGGAAGAAAGAAAGAGATCTTCCGATTCTCTCCGCAGAAGGCTACAATGGCCAGGGCTGTGTCAGGCTCAGGCCATGCGCCTGGCACACCATCTAGGTCTCCTGTACAGGTGGTCGGGGCCCAAGTACTTGGGCTATCTCCTGCTGCCCTCCGAGGTGCATCAGAGAAGGGAGCTGGATTGGAAGCAGAACAGCCAGGTCTTGTACCAGAGCTCCAACATAGCATGTCTGATAACACGCGGTGACTTCACTGGCTACACAACAGCAACCCCCGGAGTGGCTTGCTTAGAGCAGAGTTACACCCTCCAGCTGTACACTGTCATAGGAGAACGGGCTTATCAATCCCCTGGTCTGACAGACTCAAGGGTTAGGAGAACCGTCAATGAAGAAGATGCAAGTCTGCTAAAAATTCAGCCAACATCGTGTGTCAAGGTGGTGCTGCATGTATCATATGCATCCACAGATGCCCTGTGACCACAGATGAAGCATGCCTTACTCACTGAGTCCAAGCTCCTCAACAGCAGTACTACTGTAAAGGTGACTCGCCGGACTCATTTCCTGCCACATATGGACAAGGAAACTGAGTGGACTGCTCATTCCCTCTACTCCAATTCAACAAAGAAATAGGATACTCTGCATTCAAAAACCATTACCACATAAACCTGAGAAGGAAAGCCCGATGCGCACTGATGAGAATAAAAGAAACTGCAGGCTTAAAATCTAAGTAAGCAAAATGACAGGTCATGCCTAGAAAAGTCTCAGTATCCTTTTCACAGAAAGGCAGCGACATAAAGCAACCATTCAGTTACACTGAAGTCTGGAATGGTCATCAGCTGGACCAACCTTCTGAGAGAACCAGCACAAGTATATCCAGGTCCCTTGTAAAAACTGAGACACATGAAGTCTCTCTAGGTCACAGACCTGCAGTTGTGTACAGATGCACTAACTGGTCTACATCACACTGTCTAGACGATCTTTAAAATGCTCCACAGAAAACAAAAAAGTAAGCTGAGACTGATAAAGGACTTCAGCCGACTGGTCTGCCGGGGCGGGGGGAGCGAAGGAGTGCATCATAGCATTCTTTTTATTTCTGCATATATTTGAGATTTTCCAGAATAAAAGTTCAAACTTGTAACTGAGAACCCCATTCTCTTCAGGCTGATGATGGACAATGGATGTGATTTCACTTACTGAACACAAAAGTGAAATGAAACGAATATCTTCACTATAATAATATATATAAGCAGAAAACAAGGCAACTTAGGCTTTGTGGAAAAATGAGAAAATATTTACAACATAACACACTATTTACAGAAAACAGCATGATACAACATTGCAGAAATATATTGAGTATTATTCTATGTAAATCTATGAAATGGATATTATGCATTATGTTATATATTATATGTATTATGCATACTTATGCGTTATAATATGCATTATATGTATGTATAAATAGTATTGTATGTATAGCATACTACATGCTATATAGTATATTAAGTATATTTACATAGAGATATACATAGTGATATGCATAAGTCAAAAAATACTAAAAGGGAATGAAGAAAAGAAGAGAAGCAAAGTTTCTCAGGGATAAGTTTAAAGGTAATGATGTTTTGCTTTTTGTTATACTGTTCTTACAAGTCTTCTAAAAGGAGAGTCTATCAAATTTGTAATCAGAAAAAGAAAATAGAAACAAATGACATCATAAATCAGATAAGGAGAAAAGATAGCCTGAACCCTATTCACAAGAAAACAAACACTTGGCCAGAATACTACCTTCAACATCAAGCAGAGAGAAATGCCCTCTGTAAATGGGTTCAGGCCTCAATTGCCCTCAGATGACATCAGCAGGAGAGTGGGCAAACTCCCTAAGACATCTGGCACAGTGGTTGGTTCCCATGCTGCTTGGGCATGGGCATCCCATATTCAAGAACCTGGGTTCAGACGCTGACTTCCTGCTGATGTGCACCCTGGAAGTAACAGGTGCTGGCTCCAGTAGCTGGGTCCCTGCCACCCATGCAGGTGATCTGCATTAAGTTCCCAGCTCCCAGCTTCAGGACGCTGGAGGTACCCTGTGCATGCTCTCCCCACCCCATCCTCTCCCTCCCCCACGGATACAGTAAGTACATAAAAAAAACTAGCGATATCACAGTGTGCCAGGGAAAAGTCTTTTCACAGCTGAATGCAAAGCCATATACTTATCTTGGACACAGGATTTCACCTCTTTCTTCTCAGTGCTAACATAAAAGGCAATTTTCAGCAATTTTCTATGACAGATTCTTTCAAAGAACTACTTGCAGCTCCATTAATACCACTAAACAAGTTCAATACCTATAATACACTTAGAAATCTTTTTCTGATAGCTAAAAGTAAAGTTTCATTTTTCTACAACTTTCTTAACAGGTTACAAAATACATTAGAACTCTCAAAACTGTACATTGAAACCATAACTGAAAATTAAAACCATAACTAATAGCAAAGATTCTGAAAAATTTCCCTCAAAGAGAAGGAAAGCTCACTTACTTTCACTTCCACAGTCTTTCCTCCATGGTCAACGAACCTCTCCACATACTCAGAAGACAGCAAATCACTGGGAAAACAAAGAAACAACGGTGAAAGAGGGTCCCAAAACGTACTTGAAGATTGGAATACAGGTGACACAGCTTCTTCTTTATTTTTTAGATTTATTTACTTTTAAATTTTTATTGGAAAGGTGGATATACAGAGAGGAGAGACAGAGAGGAAGATCTTCCGTCTGATGATTCACTCCCCAAGTGAGCACAACGGCGATGCTATGCCGGTCCGAAGCCAGGAGCCTCTTCCTGGTCTCCCACATGGGTGCAGGGTCCCAAAGCTTTGGGCCGTCCGTGACTGTTTTCCCGGGCCACAGGCAGGGCGCTGGAAGGGAAACGGGGCTGCCGGGATTAGAACCGGCGCCCATATGGGATCCCGGGCGTGCAAGGCGAGTACTTTAACCACTGTGCCACTGCACCACCGCGCTGGGCCCGACACAGCTTCTTTAGCAATTCTTTTGCCTCGAGACATAACTTCTGCAAAAACTTCTTATTGTTTAAATCACTAGGGCATAAATTTTCATTAATACATAGGAATAATATATGAAACTAAGTTTCTAATGATGTTCTCTTAATAAACAGGGTGAATAACAACAGAAGCAAAACTTCTTTAAAATGCTGATGGACATCACCAAGTAAAAATTGTCCCAAACATACACACATACCCACAATGTGAACTTTCCAAGCACACAGCAGTAAATGACAAACACCATGCCTGCAGATGTTTCAAACATACACTGAGCAAACACTGCAATAAAGCAGGCATGATAATCCTGTTGTTTCCAAGGCTTATTTTACCTTTTAGACACCTATAATTACAGTCCCCACTTCATTTGTCTCTAAAACAAATGGTTCTACTGACTTCATATGAGAACCAGCCAGAATGTTCTAAGCTGCAAGTCAACAAAGGCACCACCCAAAGTGGCACACACATTGGCACATTTATCATCTTGCTTGTCAAAACCTCCTGGGCCAGTGTACCGTGACTGCTTTCTGCAATATTCAGTCACTGTTTGATGAATGAAAGCAAGGCTTATAAAACATATGCAAATGTTTTTCAAGATTTCTTAAATATTACCCAGCGCAATGGCTTAGTAACTCAATTCTTGCATTGCAAGTGCGGGGATCCCACCTACTTTGGGTCGTGTCCCAGCTACTCCACTTGCCACCCAAGTCTCTGCTTGTGGCCTGGAAAAGCAATAGGGGGGTGGCCCAAAGCCTTGGGACCTTGAATCTTTATGGGAGACCTGGAAAAGCTCTTGGCTCCCGGCTTTGGGTCAGCTTGGCTTCAGCCATCGTGGCCACTTGGGGATTGTACCAGCAGATGGAAGATCCTCTCTGTCTCTCCTTCTCTTAAATCTGGCTTTCCAAAGATAAATAAATTTAAAAATTGATCTCTTAAACATAGGTGAGCAGCTGGCAAGGAAATTTCTGTTAGAAGTTGGCAGAATTCTTTCAAAGCATGTAAAAAGTCTAAGAAGATCACGTATGTATTGCACATTGACAGAAAGGGTTAGAAGACTCAAAGGGAGTTCCTATCTGTGAGACATCTAGGAAATAACTACTCATGTTATACTAAACATGTGGAATGCAAAAAAAAAACACACACACACACCCAGAATATACTTAAAATGTATTAATCGTATTTCCAAGATCTTAATTCTACCAGCCACTTACACTATCCAGGGTTTCTCAACTTTGAAACTACTGACATTTCTGGCTAATTAATTGTTCATATTGGGAGGTGGCCTCTCCCACTGCAGCATGGTCAACACCAACGCTGGCTCTACCCACTGCACACCAACAGCGCCTCTAACATGCACCAATCACAGTCATGAAAGTATCTCCAGGCTCCACAGGCACCGCAGGAGAAAAGCCCTCTCGGCTCAGAACCGCTGATCTGAGCTCAGGCACCCCAGCCCCGTGCATTTCCCGTGAATCAGAAATAGAGCTTGTGACTGATCCTCAGGCAAGCCACAGCGGCTGACGGACATGCCTCTCCCCACACCCTTCCCACAGAGTAAGTGGGTGCCACTGGCCCAGGGCACTGGCCATCTAGAGGCCTCATCTACACCTCAGTTCTGCTCCTGGCAAAGATCATCAGCAGGGAAGGTGGAAGCAGGCACAAAGAGAAGCACGACCAAGGGACACTGTGTCCCCAGGGATTAACTACCTTGGTCCTTCTATCTTGCTTGCACTCTGTCCCAACCGGCCTCTTCCCTCTTGTTTCTATTGGTTAGCATTAAACCAATAGGGCATGGCCAAGCTCAACATCACAGAGACCAAGAGCAAGGTCCACTTTCTGCTCTGCCAGCAGCTTCTTTCACAACACAGCCACAGCAAGTAAAAACCAACAACAACAACAACAAAACTGCAAGGTTAAAAAAAGCTTACTGTTTGTTTTTTTTAAAATGAGCACACAAACCCTTCCCAAAATGCTCCTAGCATTCGTCTTCTGCCTCTTGCCAATTACATTATATGACTGTGCCCACTCCAATACTTTGACAAGGGCATCTGTCTTAGAACCATCCAGATTTTCCTGTCTGGCCTCTCTGAACATAATGACTAACACTGGGAAGGAGAGAAGAGTTGTTTTGCCTGCAACCATTAACTGTTTTTTAAAAATCTGAGTATGTTATCTACCGCATACTCAGTGCAAGATAGTAAATTCCGGGCCATAGGGAGGCAGTATGGTGCAATCAGCTGCAGACAACTCCAGAAGGCAGAGGGACCAGGCAGAAATTTGCAAGACCACCATGTCCCCTGGCCCTGCTATCCATGGCTGAAATCCCTCCAGCCCCAGATCTAGGAGGGAAGCATCACAACAGAGGCACACAGCCAGCTTTCCTCCAAGAATCTTATTTGCAAATTTTGAGTACTTAGCTCAGGAAAGAGAGGGAACTAGAAATTGAAAAATGAAGAGAACTGAGAGAAACTGACTTGTACCTGGATGCTGACCTGCCCAAGGCCAACACGGGGTATCTGCACATCACTGCCTGGGAGTAAAGGCCACTATCAGAGCGCCATGAATGAAACTGTATGTGCCCACGTAACAGGATGCCCAGAAGGGCAGCAGGGGCAGTTATCAGCAACTGTTCAGCAGCAACTCCTGTGTCTTGCAGATTCTCAGATGTCAGGGAATGTTTTCATTCGAATTACTTAATCTGTACATTCAGAGCATGTGATTCAAGGTGCAAATGTAATTACAGCACCAGAGAGCCCTGTGCTCAGGAGCTATGCGGCTGCTGCAGTCAAGCCCCACAACTGGGAGCATTGCTGGAAAGCATTTCACGTAAGTTAAACCGGAAACGGCCCACACCGTTGGCTTTGTTGGCCATATTGTGCAGGTCAGCTAACTATTGGGATTTGAATTATTAGGTGAAAAATCCTTCCGTTCCCTTTCCTGAACCATAAAACCCTTAGTATCAGCAAGTCCGAGCCCAAGCCAATTTCTCAAAACACTCACACACAAAATTCAGATTCTTTGGAACACAAAGGACATTTTCCTTGACTCTAAAATGAACCCAGTAGAAACCACTCCCTGCTTATAGCAGTTTCAATACAGATGTGTAACTGCTGCTTTGTCAATCTTGAAAGGTAGATGTAAAAATCATTTTCACCCCAAATCTACAGTCCATTCATTCCCTATGAAGCGTATAGACATGTTTTTAAAATTAGAAATGGAGACCACGCTTCCCTCTGCATACCATCATAAGCCTAGAATAAGCCAAGAGAATACAGTGTAAACATTCTCAGATGTAATAACCATTATCCTTGCTCCAGCAGGCGAATGTCATGAAGCAGGGGCAGCTAGTGGAATAAAGAGGTTTTTGAGCTGATCGTAATGACAAATGCGCTTTTAGAGCTCTGCCACTGGGCAGCTGCGTGACCTTGCCAAGGAACTCAACCTCTGTGGACACGGCATGCCCCTTTCTAAAATGGAGAAAACCAAAGCTGCTCCATAAAGCTGGGGTGGTGCTGAGCCCAAATCCTACACCTGCCATCACCTACTGCCTTTCTCGACAACTCCTGTTTCTGGATTTTCAGCCCAAACATTCCACCTGCCACTTCTTTACTCTGCAGCTGCTTTTTATCCACTTTCTCTGTTTCCACTACATGGTCAATCATGTTCATCAATCCATTGAACACAGTCTGAATCTCCTTATACCTCGCACCAACCCCACCACATCTCCTTTTGCCCTCATTTGCCTGACTATGGCAAATCTTAACTCTTCTATGAATCAAAGTCTGACCTGAAGAAGTAGAACACCTAAAGTGGTCAGAGGTCAAATTTAAGACTACAGTTGTAAACTGGACCCCTCAGCACCATAATGCCCCAAAGTGTAAGTCCACTATATTTGCCTAATCAACTGACTCTGGGATGACCCTTCCAAACTTCTCCCTACTCAAACCTCCAAAGCAGTCCTTCATCATTATTCCTTCCAATGAAGAAAGATACTACCATCATGTATTTTTGAAGTAATGTACTAAGAAGCACATCATTTGTCATCTAGTCACTCACAGTGCATAAGAAAAACAAATGAACAACGAAAGCAGACCTTGCACACATTCAGGACAAAGACTTAGTACAACTTGTTGTTAGATGAATCAGACTTCAAGATCAAGTCAAGAACATATTTGCAAGACCCTTTTTTCAGACCTCAGAAAGACTTGAGGCTGTCTTGTCTAGTCCACAACATCTACATAAAGAGTTTCTCAGATTCATAAGAGTTTAGCTCCTCATCTAGAGAAAGAATTTCCAAGGCTCTTCTAGGTAAGACTCATATATTCTCACATGAATAAAAATATCACAAGAATGTTACAGGTACTGTGCCACAGGACCCTAATTCACAGTCTAGACAGAGAGGTATACCTGGAAAAGATTTCTGGATGTGGTTCTAATGGAGTAAATCACAATGAATTTACACGAAGGCCTTCAAGCGTAAGGGGCAAAAAAAGCAGCACAGGAATGACCACCTGCATGAACCAAAATGGACAGTGAATTCAAACCTGTTTC